ACATTTTTATTGAGTGCCTATTATGTATTAGGCCGTGAGGTTAGAGCATGATAATTACTTCTGCTCTCGAGGATTGAAGAGTTTAGTTTTTGATACAGGCAAGCAGAGAGGCAGAGTGACGTGTGATGGGAGTGATGACGGCAGTATCCCAGGTGCTGTGGAAATGTAGTGAAAGGGGACATAGCTTGAACTGGAGGACGGAGAATGTGAATTATGTCTTCAAGGACTAGTAGGAAGTGATGCTCAGATCTAAATGATACGTAGTACATGAGACATCATTTTTAATCGAGAGGTAGCTTGGGTGAAGGGGAGCAGAGATAAAACCTAGAGGAAATGGATGAATTTCCAGCAGAATATAAATGCTGAGAAATGACCTCAAAAGAAGTATACAACTGCTACAATTATTGTAGAAGTTCTTGGAAATATGAGTAAGCTCTATTATTAAAGAAAGTTTCATATCTAGATGGCTTTACACTGAATTCTGATAAACCTTTAAAGATCAGATAGTTCCAATCTTATCAGTAAACTAATCCAAACAGTAGAAGAGGATGCAGAACCTCCATATCAAAACCTAATAATGATAAGTGAAACAAGTAGAGGAAAACACTACAGAATGATCTTACTTAGTATTATATGTACAGAAATTCTATGTAAAATAGAATATTGAATTCATCAATATACCAAAACACGACAACTGACTGAGTAGGATTTTTTTCTAGGACTGCAAAGATGGTTCAATCTCTAGAAATCTATCAACACAATTCATTACATCTCTAAATTAAGGGAGGGAAAAAAGAGATGATTCCATCAGAGGATGCTAAGAAGGGAGATGCAGATTCTAGAAAGGGAGGAGTAACCAAGGAGACCAGCATTTATTCATTCACCCATTCATGCATAAGATATGTTTCTAAGGGCTTCCTGGCCAGGCATTGTGCTGGTATAGTGAGACCACTTAGGAACTTCCAGCTTATTGGGGTAGATAGGCAGGTGATTAAATAGCTTACATGTGGACTGTTATTAGTATGAAACAAGAGCCTGGGAATTAAGTTACTCTTTCTGGAGGGAGCTAGGGAAATGTTCACAGCATCAGAGACATTTCAGCTGGGTCAAGATAACAAAAAGGTGGGGGGGTGTACTTGGTAGAAAGTAATGGCATTATAGATGGTGGACACAGCATGAGCAAGTCTTCCGGGTCATTAAATTTTATTATAAATCCTGGGAGTGGTGTCACTGGGCCATTGGTAACATATAGAAGAAAGGTTTGAGAAAATGCTGTTAAGGTCTTATGCAGACAGGTACTTGGCCAGACCCTGGCACTCACTGGAGGTGTCACTGGGGTTGCCTCCATGGAGAGTACAGTGGAAGGGTGATATATGGTGCTGGGGATAACTGAAAATATGGTGGGGTCCATGGTTTGCACATGGATGCTTACATTTTCATTTTTCATATTCTCCCAGAAGTTTCCTGTTCCTTTATATCTGCAGAATTTCTGAAAAGGCCAGGATTCTACAGTCGATTGGCAATGTGTGATTGCTCTGGAAATGTGCCTCTTTGCTTTAGAAATCACTGTATCCTATATTAACCCATTTTGAAAGTTTCTATTTTGGAATAACTTGAGATTTATAGAAAATTTGCAAGGATAATATTAACCCATTTTTAAAAAAATCCACACATAAAATTTATGCTACAAATGTGCAGGGCACGTTAAAACGTTCAAATCTTTATTTTATCCTATTTGTTCCCCACTTATACTCACTTTGGTCTTGTTGAGAGTAGACCAGACACTTTATTCCCTTTTAGTAGAAAACTGAGGCTCAATTAAACAAACAAAACCAAAATTAATGTTTCTCAGCCCTGAGAGATGAACTTGGTTTTGGTACCTAAAAAAAAAAAAATCTCCAAGACTTCTAAATGTGCAGCCAGTTTTAAGAACCAGGAGTAAACCAGATTCACAGTTGTTTTTCTGTATTGGTTTTGTGCTGGGCCTTAATGGTGGTTTAGGGATGTATAAAATATGATCCCAGATCTTCCAAGGAACCTACAATTTACCAAGTGTCTGTGTACATTAGCATGTGTACAAGGTGCAGGGGACAAAAATAAGGCCCTGCAACCAGAGTGAAAAGCCAGTGTCCCCACTGGCTTAAGGAACAGAACCCTCCTGATTCCTAATTTAGAGGCTTCCTCATTGCTTCATGTCATCCTCTTTGATTGAGAGACCTACACCTCCAACAATTTTCCTCCCCTCATTTTGCTTAGCACTTGACAGTATATAAAACACTTTAATAGGGCTTCCCTGGTGGCGCAGTGGTTGAGAGTCCGCCTGCCGATGCAGGGGATGCGGGTTCGTGCCCCGGTCCTGGAAGATCCCACGTGCCATGGAGCGGCTGGGCCCGTGAGCCATGGCCGCTGAGCCTGCGCATCCGGAGCCTGTGCTCTGCAACAGGAGAGGCCACAGCAGTGAGAGGCCCGCGTACCGCAAAACCCCCCCCCCCCAAAAAAAAACAAACAAAATAAACAAACAAGAAAAACACTTTAATGTTGTCATCTCATTGGTTGTCATGAAACTCTGTGAGTTAAGGACAGGGAGCAGGGGAACCTGGGACAGCGGATAAGGGCAGCAGGGCTGCTCAGGGTCATGTCACCCCTCCTGGCGTGGTGTGATGCTACCCAGGCCACGCTGGGCCCCATCTCTCCCCCTCCACCCCATCTCTCCCTGGCCATGCCACGTGCTGAGGCCTTTATTTTTTCCTGCATTTCCAGTTTTCTTTGTTGTTACAGACATCTGGAGGTAATTATGGAGCCCTCTCAATTAATTCAGTCCAATTAATAAATTATGGGATGGATTTGGGGCTGGGAGAGGGTGAGGGAGCCTTCCGGGCCTCCCCGCGCTGGAGAGCTCTTGCAATCAGACTTGGAGAGCCCTCCTCAGTGGCAGTCTGTGAGGCTTGGCCCCAGCCTGCAGGCTGCCTGTAGGCGGGTGGTTGGCTTACCCTGACACCAAGACATCGTTCTTCTTTCCTTACAGACTATCTTTTAATCCCAGTAGGATAGCCCCTGGGCTGGCTGGTGTATCCCCTTCCTAGCTGAGTTCTTCCTAGAGGTCCTGTATGGTATCTGCTCAGCAGAGTTCCTGATGGGTGTTATACGGGGCTGCCCTGTGCATTATAAGGGTTGAATATTTTAGCCCCTGGCTACTAAGTACCAGTAATTGTCCTAGGCATTGTGGCAAACAGTGTCCCTCCTTGCAGTTTCCAAGTGCCCCTTGGTGGGGAGCAGTACTGCTCCTGCCAGAGGGATCGTTTTAAATGTCCTGCCATGCATTAGTCATACCCTTGTTTCAAGAATAAACCTTTGGGGGTTCCTTAATGCCTGCAGAATAAATTCAGACTCCTCAAGCTTGCATGCAAAGCTGTCAGTGCTTTGGTCCCATCCCACATGTTTGGTTCTTTTGCTATAGCTCCTTTTCCTTGTTCCCCCACAGCCACGCTGACTTGAAGCACTGTGTGCTTTTCTCCTCGTGCAAGGTTGCCTCCTTTGTTGGGGCCCGACCGCTACTCAGCACTCAAGGCCCAGTCTGAAGGTTGCCGCATTAATGAGGTCTTAGTTCTGCTCCCTGCAAGAAGTGATCTTATCCTTTTCTACATTCCAGCAACACTTTATTTATTTATTTTTTTTACCTCATTTAGATAATATCACCTCATTTAGGTAACTTACCACCATTTAATTGATGTGGTAATCATTTTAATAGATTATTAATAAAATTGAAGCTTTTTTCCAACTTTCCTAGTATAAGATTCTCCTACCATAGAAACTTCTTAAGGTTAGGGACCATTTCTTACTCATGTCTATTGCCTGAAGAGTCCTAGGCACTAAAGTAGGTAACTGTTGGAAGAGAGGAATTCCAGATTGGTTGAGGGGAGTGTTCAATTTTTCTCCTCCTCCAGTTAAGGCAAGTTTTTCATAACTCTCCTACTTTTTATCCTCCTCTCCCCTCCCTCCCTCCCTCCCTTCCTTCCTCCCTCCCTCCCT